GGGGGGGGGGGGACCGCCCCCACAGCTGCCCTTGCACATGAGACCGAAAAGACAAGCAAAGAATGGACAGCAGCCCTGTTCTGGAGAGCAAAGGCCTGGACAGACCCCCGTCCCGTTGGGAGGACAGACACGAGGACACAATCACGGGAGGCTGAGGAGAGGAACAAGCCGCAGACACGAAGGACGGTGAGTCTACACAGCTCCGACACAGCAAAACGAAAGGACTGTTACTTGGGGACGCAAATACTATAAAACCATTTGTAAGAAGCAAGGGAGCAGTGAACACGAGATGCAGACAGCAGTCCACCTGACCCGACTGTGCAAGAAGCTAAGTCCAAAGCCCAACAAAATCAAGGTCTTGTCCCTAGCTGGCACGGCTGCCTATGGTTGAGGCCACGTCTGCATGAAAAGGAAAACAAAACGCATCTAAATGTGTGAAGCCAAACGCTAAGCCTGGAAACACAACTGGAGCTCTGGGGTCAGTGCCGGACCTTCTGTGCTGGCGCCTGGCTCTCCAGATGTGCTTCTGGAAAAGACAGGTGAGAAAACTGCACATCTGGTGCAGCCCCCCTACTCTGGGGACACACCTTCCCACGAGCCACAGGGTTCTCTACTGCCGGAAGTGCAGACAGGTAAGCAGCAGTAAGTTTGCAGAAGGAACACAGTAGATACATAACACAGAGTGGTCACCATCGGAGAAGGGAACGTGATCCAGAAAATGAAGGAAAACGAGAGGAGTTCTGAAATTTCCCAATTAGAATGTGACGACTTGTCATTGATTTAATTAAGGAAACACAGGGTCCAGACACTTCCTGGGCCACACACTGTTCACAGCAAACCATTAACAGGACACAAGGGTCTCACCGTGTCTACAAAACCAATGAGCCTATCTTATTCATACAGTTACCTTCTAAAATAGAGAAGGTGCCACGGGTAAAAGCAAGGGCCCTACCTTTGGTCCAGCCAGAGCGAGGGGCTGCGTGGTGGGCAGCGGCACGGTGGGCGGCCTCTGTGGGGCCCGAGCCATGTCCTGGGGACAAGCAGGCACAGGTGAGCATCCTCTTAGCTCAGTACTGCTCTAACATGTCAGACCCTGCTTGGGATTCATTTCTCCCTAGAACCGATTAATAATGAACTGCATTTTTAATTTACTACATTGTTGAGACATCTGTCTGCGCTCATGCAGCCGATGCACGGGCAGTCCCTCGGAGATACAAGTCAGGCCCAGCAGCTGGCGATGGGATCTGGCTACAAGGTGTGAGGCAGGACCAGGGGGGCCACCTTGGCACGAGGGCAGCCTCTGTTCACCGAGGGCAGCATGTGGCACACGGGCATGGGGGTGGTGGGTCCCGAGGTTCTCGCAGGGTAGTATATGGTATGACACTGCTTACTTCTTGCTGCTCTGTGCTTGCAGCCACAGACACCGACGGGGACACCTCTGGCTTCGGGGCTTGTGTTTCCTGCTCCCCAGTGGAGCTGCTCTGTGAAAATAAAGGCAAAGAAACAGTGGGAAGGAGAGAACTGCAGAAGTCACACTCCGATTCCGTGGTCTGTGTTTAGAGAGTGTTCCACCGGGGACCCAAGGTCCCGGCCCCGGCTCTGGCTCCCATCTGACCCCACCTCACTCACAGCCAGCCTGTCTTCCCTGAGGACCACTGCCCATGGCATTCTAAGACCAGAGTGATGACTGTGGGGTCTGTCAAGTCACAGCTGTTACCGAAGGCCAGAAGCTCCAAGCCTCCCCCTCCAACCAAAGCCCTTGGTCACATTCTCCCCACGGCCCTGTGTAAGGGGCAGAAACTGGAAACCACGAAGCCACTGTTGTCGTTCAGAAATGATTTCATCCGTACCTGGTATCGTTGAGATAAAGGAGTCAAATGTTTTTGACCTCATTTCAGGGATCAAGAAGAAATTCTGAGATCAATCGGGGTCTGTGGGCCTATGGCCAGGAGCAAGAATTTCCCTGAAAGCCTTATGACACGGGGAAGCAATGTTCTGTTCTAAGCACTCAAGATTCCCAAATTAATTTCAGTTTGAAATTGAAGCTAAAGCTTTGAATCTAATTTGAAGCTATTCTAAAACCACTTAAAAATGACCTCATTTGGGGGCCCCTGGGTGGCTCAGTCGGTGAAGCACCCAACTTCAGCTCAGGTAATGATCTCATGGTTCGTGAATTCAAGCCCTGCATCAGGCTCTGTGCTGACAGCTGTCTCTCTCTCTCAAAAATAAACAAACATTTAAAAAAAATTTTTTTTAAATGACCTCATTTGGAGTGTTATTATTTCCTGATGAAAGGCTATTGCTATTTAAACAGACACACATAAACCATGCGTGTGTGCAGTGAGCGGGAGCGAGCGCTGGGACACAGAAGTAGCTGGGCTAGGTTCCTACAGGGGCAGTTTGCAGCTGTTACCCTGTGTTCCACACTGAAATCCCAATCAAGCAAATCAGAGAAACACTTTCCAAAAGTTGTAATTAACAAGGTTCCTGGAGAAGGAGCCAAATTCAGCTGGGAAGGTAGCACAGCACATAAACACCGCAGTTTGTGAATTTGTTCATTTCACAAGGGAAATGCTATACCAATTAGCTAATTATCAAAGCTACGACAGTAAGCAAATTTCTCCCATAAATACGGTATGTTACACGCGTTAGCGTTCCATCTCTCCATGAACGAGGAGCAAGAGAATATTAAGAAGCCTGACTGGTTTCACTTGGTTGGTCCAAGGATGGGAATTAAGGGCAAAGAGTCGTCCATGACTGAGGGGCTGCTAGGGACACAGGGAGGGCGTGGGGGCCAGCCTCAGCAGCGACTGCTGCTTCCCAAGAGGCTAGCAAGAAGATGTGGGGGAGGCAGCGTCGCTGATGGTGACAGAAGCGAGGAACAGAACCGTCACTCCCCAACCAACGAAAACTTGCATAAAAATACAGTGATTCCATCACTGTGGCCAATCATTCTAATAGTTAACAACATGTTTAATAGGGAGAAAGCAGGGTAGAAGCTTCTAAAAGACGATTCTCAGGTCTGGAAACACCTCCTGACAAACCCAGACTCTGACCAAGGATTTGCTACTTAAACCACAGAGGTAAGGAGGGACCGAGACCAAACACGAAGACGGCAGGAGTGCTGACTCCCCGGACACGGTACCAAGATTACGGCCTCCATCTAGCTCCGTGACAAAACCTCCCGACTGGCTGTCTACAGTGGCGCCGAGTTCGGGCTGAAACCACCTGCCCCAGGGATCGCTACTCTTGCTCTAATTCTGTGTCTAACGCCGCTCTCCTGGCCGCCTCCATCCCGTTAACAACGGCAGCCCTCGGGTTGCCGCGATGGGTCTAGCGCTCCAGCAGTGAGAGAGGCACGAGACTTACGAAGCAGGACGTTTCTGAAAGAACCGCCGTGTGAGGACCAGGTAAACCTATCTGCCTCTTAAAACTCAGGCCTTCAGGGAAGAGACGAGCATCACCAACGTGACAAGAAACCATTCTGACAGGTGAACATGAGCAGGTGTGAGCCAGAGCAGCAGGACCCACGCAAGCCTACTTGATTCTGTAAGAACCGCTGCCAGGCACGGGCTGCTGGCCTTCGCCAACCCGTGGGCGCAAGGCTGCTGGCGGACGGACATCCGGCAGCCTTCCCGACGGCTCGACGCTTACGAAGGGGCGGGGCGGGGCCTGGCAGACGCCACGTCCACCTGACGCCGAAAGCATCACGAAGCCTACACACTCGGGACGTCCACATCCTGTGCGGCATCCCTGCCACAATGTCCAACCCACGTCAAATCAGCCATCAGACAAATCCGGAGCGTAGGACACTCAGTGAGACGACTGGTACAGATACCACAAAAATACCAATGTTATAAAGGGTGGGGGTGGGGGTCGGGGTGGGGGAGAAACTGGGACACTGTTCCAGATCAAAGACTAAATGCGACTTAGGAGCTCTGCTTGGACCCTGACAAGAGGAGGCAAACCAGCCGTAAAGGACACTCAGGGACAAGGGACATGTAAAACATGCACGCTCTACTACAGCATCAGTGCAAAGGTCTCGTGCAGGACAATGACATTATGGTTGTGTCAGGAGAACATCCTTCATCTTAGGAAACAAACACTGGTGCGTTAGGAGAAAATGGCAGGGAGAGATACCTATGTGTTTACTATAGTATTCTTTCAACTTGCCCGCAGGCTTAACGTTTTCTTAAAAAAAAAAAAAAGACGGAATCAATGAAAACGACGACGTGCCATCAGAAGTCCCATTAATGAGATTTGTTTTCGCTATTTTTACTTTCTGGCTTACTTCAAGGGTTGCTAGCAAGGGTCCACCCCTATCGTCTGGAGAGAAGCGGTAAAGGAGGCACTGGGTCCGCGGGCAGCGCAAGGAGAGATGGGACTCCCTCGGAATGGCTCCCTCGGGCCGCCCCGCCTACCCGGTGCGGGTGGCTGAGCAGGGGCGGGCCACGGCAACAATTCTCCCCAGCCACCCGTCCGCCCACCCCACGGGGGGCCACCGGAGACCAAACCCCAAACCGGAGGGCCATACAGAAGTCACTGCAGTGGTAATGAGGCTGGCTTAGTCTTCATTTGCGGCAGGGTGGGAATGTGTATTTAGAAACCCGCCTGAGGGGTGCCTGGGTGGCTTAGTAGGTTAAGTGAACGACTTTGGCTCAGGTCATGATCTCACGAGGGTTCGAGCCCCTGTGCTGACAGCTCAGAGTCTGGCGCCTGCTTCGGATTCTGTGTCTCCCTCTCTCTCTGCCCCTCCCCCACTCGCGCTCTGTCTCCGTCTCAAAAATAAACATTAAAAAAAATGTTTTTTTAATAAAAAAAATAAAAATAAAAACCCGTCTGAGATGCTCACCACACAGCCAGAAGCCAGTGCCGATTCTTCCCTGAAGATGCTGAGCACTTTCTTAGCTTCCACTTAAGTCTGGGGAAGCATCTCTGCGAGCATTTCCGGTACCTTAAATGTCTCTAACCTCACCCATTTGACACCCTGGGTCACTCCTAGGTCAGCACGACAGAGAAAACTGTCAGGTGTCAATTTACTAGTGTGTTTGTGGCCCCACCGGTGGTCAGAGCATGTCCTACCAACTCTAACTCATCACAAATTCATTTGTCACTTTTTAGAATAACTACTTACTCTAAATGTCAGATCGTGTCCAAGAGGTGCAGTGTTGAAATACTCAAAGATAGAATCCTGAAAATCTGGAAGTTTCAATCCTATAAAAAAGAAACAGACTAGTCAAGGCAAATTTAAAAGACCATCTGTGCTCCCATGGGGAGACTCAGCACCATCAAGATGTCAATTCTCCTTAACCTAACGGATAAATCTGATGTGATTCTAGTTAAGTTCATTTGGAGAGTGTCTCAGAAGTCCTTAAAAAAAGGGGTTGGGGGAGTAGATCTACCAGATACTAAATCAGATTTACTGAAACCTCTTTCATCACAATCCAGTGGTTCCTGCCAGTGAACAGTGAACAGGGCAGGAAATCCAGAAACAGACTCAAGTGCCCATGGTGACCTCATGTGGTAAGAGTCACATACAAAATCGGTAGGGAGAGGAACTTCTTAATAACTGGTATTAGACGACCAGCCACAGGAAAAAGATAAAACTAAAAACTAGATCCACAACTCAAAATGCACATCAGAGTAAATTTCAAATGGACCAGTAATCCACATTTAAAAAATGAAACCTGTATACAAGTATTAGAAAATATGAGTGAATTATTTGAGTACCTGGGGACTCAGAAATATTCCCCTGTAACTGAAAAAAGGGAAAAAAATGACAAATGTGATGCACAAAAAAAACAAACAAAAAAAAAAAAAAA